ATTTACCATTCTTCTCATTTTCTGGTGGAATTCAATGAGCTGCGATATAGTGAAGCGACAAGCAGTTTACATAGGCATTAGATTATGGAAACGAGAATAGACAAAAAAATACGGCATTATGTGTTGCACTAAAGACAAAAAATTGCACACTATTTTTTTTGTTCGTAAAATACATGGCTGAACATCTAGCGTGCTCGCAAAGTACATTTGCTTTTACTTTTTACCATCTCACTTTTGAGAACGTGCATGGGAATATTTAAGTGGGCTTTCCAAGGCAAACAAGATGAGAAATTCAACCTCCAGTGCGCGCAGTTGAAGGTATCAAATGAAACACACAGGTGAAAAGAAGGTGTTACGAGAAGAGAAAGGACTTAGCTGAAATCTTCGCAGGAGAAATAAAACAAAAAAGCAAAACGTGGATCAAGATCAAACGCAATAAGATGAGAAGGTTTCAAAACTGAACGTAGAAGTACGTTTGAGCACCACAAAAACTGATTTGCAGAGCAAATGCCAAAAGGGGAGAAAAGGAAGCTCGAAGTGAATTAAAGTGGATGAGGATCACAATCCAATTCGGAGAAAGCGTTTAGAAAAGCTCATCTTGAGCAGAGAGATAGTATCATAAAGCATCCATTAGCCGCCGCTGGGGTTAGCCATTTCCACCACTGAATGAGTACTGATAAGAATCAATGGAAAGGTATTTCATCCCAATGCGGAGTTAGGAGGAATAAAATATACTTATTTGTCGAACTGAGGAAGAAAGAATCAGATATTACTATCACCGAGCGACAAGTGGATGAAAATCATGGTCGCCTACAACTATAACCATAATCTAAAGGTAGCTGTGGAAATAATGGGTTCGCTCAAAACTAGGATCAATCTTCCTATCTGAGATCAGTGACTATAGTAACGCTATCAAACCTATGGGGAAACTAAGCTGGTTAATTAATGCTTCTCACGTTTGAGCAGATCGTGTTTTCATTGCTTAAGCGCTCAAGCGAGCCGTATTACAACAGTGCCCTAGCAGCCATCTGGGTGTTAGCCGCATTAAATTTATTGCAAGAATGTTTGCATACTGGCCTGGAATGAACACAAACATTGAAGCCAGTTGTCCAAAGAGCTAGGCTCATAGACCTGCATACACTTGGATCTTGCAAGACCTGCAATTAGTCTCTCTCTCGCATCTTGTCGTGATTGATTTGCACTCAAAGTGGAACATGTTGACTGGTACCTTTCGACACGCACTAGTGCCCACGGGGGTCATTATAACCGACATGGACACCCAGTTCCCTTTTGTTTTTAATAAATAACAATACAGTGTTAACTAAGCTTTTCTTGGGTAAACAAATACTCATTGCTACCGAGCAGAGGGAATTTCAGCTTTTCTGGTTCAGTATATGGTTCAAGTGCAGACGTATATTCATAAAAAGGTGGGGGGGGGGGGGGGGGGAGGGAGAAGGAGGAGGAGGGGATAGCAATCTTTTCTCTAACATTCGCGGCTTGTGATGGGGTTGGAAAGTTGCTGCAGCGTGGACACACACAATAATGACGGCATAAAAATGGTGATAAGAAGGCTATATTCAACGGATTAGATTGTCCACAACAATGACGTTGATGATAGAAAACGGCAGTTGCCGCCGTACCTCATAAATAATGTGCACATAAATAAGCTCACGCGAAACATGTGGATCGAGTCTGCTCCCTTCTTTTGCTTCAATATATATTAATTGGCCTTACTCGAGCATGCCAACAGTACATCACCTCCTAGGTTATTCTCAAACCCAGTGGAAAGAAGGTAAAGACTTATAAACCAACTCCACCTAAAATATAACTTTGAGAATATGGAATTCGTTGACATTCGCTCTAGGTGGAAAACTATCAAGCATGGTAGTAAAGCGGTTGAATAAACACTAGTGCGGAGGGGATGAGTTGGTTTCAGGACGTCAGAAATATTCAAATCGGATTCCCATTGAACGATTCAAGTGGCCTACAAAGGCATAGAAAAGCATAGGAGCTCTACTTTTGCCTTAAGGATGAGTTGTACCAGAGTAAGACAAGAAGTAATGGCTCAATTGCACAGTTTAATGTTATTTAAAAATTATTGAGGATTGGGAGAGTGAGTAGAAAAGTAATATCACCCTCTATTACTGGTACAAAGTGAGTCCGCTAACTAGATCACATTTAGTGGAGTTACCTCAACCGAGCACAAAAAACCCCTTAACAAAAAAACGGCAAGCGAATGATTATGGCTAAGACACGAAGAAAATTTCTAGCAATAACAGGAAAGGAACGAAAAATGTCAACCTATTACGGTGTCATCCGAGATAGGTTGGCATCAAGCCCAAAGCGAGCCTATTCTATGAAACATTGGAAAAAGCCAAAAAGTGGATAACACTGCATTTTCTTCTGAGAGGTGGATAGTCAAGAAGAAGAAGAAACCAAAATGCGCACCAGATGAATCGATTCATCCTAACCTATTCGCCACACTCTGCTTTATAAATAAGAGGAGGTATTACTAAATTCCAATAGCCCCTCTCCGCCCCCCGCCCCCACCCCCCCACTGCGGAATGTTTACGGGCCTAGAGGAAATACAAAATTGTAGTAGTAGCAAATATGCATAAATAGGAGATCGGAAGAGGAGGAAAGGTGAATCATATACAAAGCACATGAACAACCACCCCCAATGAGAAATGAATTAAAGTAGGATGAATCAGTCGTTGACTCTCTCTCTCTCTCTCTCTCTCGCTTCCTCTCTCTCCAAGCAGGCGCTTAAAGAAGACAGAAAAGGAGGAGGAGGGAGGGAAGAGCAGAAAAAGATTCTTCATCCTAAACAAAATAGCAGGCACACAAAAAGTCGGAAAAACCCAGATTTTTGAGATTTAGATTATTCCACTTGTTCAGTGCATAAATGTCTGTGAAAGTGGCAGCGCACGGGGAGTGTCATTATAAGTTCGAACGGAAGGAGACTAAGAGAGGGAGAGAGAGAGATGAGATATTATTTTACGAGTTCACCGTAAGTGATTTCTAGTTACCTCCTCACTGCTTTTAGCATACCTTTGGTAGCCTCAACTACATGCTCTTAATATTGAGGACATGAACACACCTAAATAGCCAGTAATTAAAATCATGGAAAATTAGGCATTGAAGCATTGAAAGTGGACATATATACCATAGCCAAACCTAAGTTTTATCCCGTGTTGAAATATTTGTTAATTACCGGGCTCAGATATTATATATCATGATAAAACATACGGATTCACAGCGCTCCCACGAGCATTAATTGAAGTTCACAGCGGGGTTACAGCAATCAAAGGGCATTTTTGAGACATATTTAAGCTAAAAAAGCAAACTCGTTACAAGTATGGAGAATCATAAACATACAAGAATTTTAATTAGTAGTATGCCATACATAGCAAGAATGGCAACTTCTACCAATTGAAAATAATCAACAGAAGAGAAATCATTAATGAATCACTCTTTGAAATCCTGAAATTTTAATTACGCTGAGGGAGGATACCTATGAAAGCGAATTCTCCAATTTTGACAAAATACGCACCTCCATAAAAAACTGATTCACAGTAACATCCAATTGAATTTTCAGTCCAGATTGACAGTAAATATTGGATGAGAGTAGCCACTAAAAGCATATTCAAAAGTGTCACCTCTATTCCTCTGCACGTAAAGTCGAAGTGAAGTCAGGCCATCAACAGGGTCTCTGGTGCATACTTCATGTTAGTTGGAAGGAAACTAGATCACTCCCATTAACTATTCCTAATTCGGGAGAGAGAGAGAGCAGGTCTATGAGGACCAATTGATCCATCTAACGGTGGTCATAGGGAAAATGTACCAAACCGAAAACATCAGCCCTATGCGAAAAAGTTGGCTTAAATTAAGACCTACCACCGAATCAAAAAGGTCCAATAAACTGAATAAAAGGCGAAGAGAATGTCATTCTGACAATTTACTTCAGTCATACCCCGGATATTATTAAACTCATTGAGGTTTCTGCAATTATGAACGTCATGCCACTGCTTCTCTAGTTCTGAAAACCCAAAATCAGCAACCAAATAGGAACAAACATTTCTTGAAGGTTAGCTCGTTGCTTAATACACTCTACAATGTTAGATTATATAGACCATATGAAGAGTCACTGATTCACATTCCCTAAACTGATGATTGATCAGTGGGATATATGCTTAGTAGGTCATGACCACAGTTTAAACAATTGACACGAAGAAAGAAAATTAATTAGAATCAGTAAATTAACTGTTAAAAGGTATTTTCGTTCAGCAAAATTTTAGCTAAATGACAATGTAATTCAAGGGGAAGTACACAAAAAGTTAACTTAGTGGAAATGATACCTTGGAGGCTATCAATTCAATAAATGCAAAAAGATTCCACCATTAGAGCGTTGAAAATAGGGGGGGGGGGGAGAGAAAGTAAAGGAGTTGAGTCATTGGGTTTTAACCCAGTTATGACAACAATAAAAGGGGAACATGAACAAAACGATACAGCCATTAAAGAGAACATAAACATATGACTCCATCAGTTGTTTGTTTGTCCGATTGACAAATGAACAAAAACAAAGACAAAAAACAGTGTACGCTTAAGGCAAATACAAGAAGAGTATTAGAAAAAGAAGTACTGCTGGCAACGAGCAGTGGTCAATCTACATCTATGTGAAGATAAGAACCACGAAAGCTATGCATACCGAATGACAATAAATAATATGTGGGCGGGATACAATGCACACGAATTGTGATCAAGGAAAGAAATGCCTCCATTGCTTACCTCGATCCAAAGCGGCGTTGGTAGATCTCTCTAACGGTCGATTAAAAAAAATAAACATTAAGACGATCACGTTCTGGAATAAAACTTTGAGCAAATAAGTCAGGAATTTTGACATACTAGAACTCCAGTGAATAATCTTATAGGCAAGGGGTTAAAATGATAAGAATTTAGGGGAAAAAAATAAAAGGAATGCAAATGCCGAAGGATGTACCTTAACCTATCAAAAAGACAAAAAATTTAAAGTTAACTCTTTTTATTTCAAATACAAACATTCAAAAAAGGAGATGGTGGATGAAACAAAACCCGGATTAAGAGAGACTAACCATAACCCACGAGGCTAACGTTTCGGTAAATAGAAAGGTCAACATACTTGTTAACTACCACAGGAGTACAAACGAGCAAGAGACAAAAAAAGCGAAAATTTACTGATGCACAGGCAAGAAAAAAGGTGAATGCTTACCAAACGCAGTGACAGAGGGAGAACTGAAGGCGGAGGAGAGTTGAGTTGCATGATTGTCGGTTTTATTAGGGATGGAATCGGCTAAAAGAAAAGAGAGCATAAAATACACGGACCAAGGGACCCATGTAGTCAGGTTTACCAATATCCCACACCCCACTTACCTGTCAACTAATAACCAAGCGTATATTTTCATTGAGGGGTGTGCGATAGACTTACCTCCACGTGGTGCACCCTGGGCAACGTATACTCATACGGCAAAAAGTCTATAAACAGGCAGTTGACTTCTCACTTCAAACTACCATCACCCCAGTGTATATCATATTCGACTATTTTTACAGTACTCACCTCACCTTTGTTCTACCTTTGTGTTTGTCTCTTACACCTTTGAAACACTCTTCTGTTCCCCCCCTCCCCCTCGAATTTTTTCAATTTGATGTTCCTTCCCCTCTGTGAAGTCTGAAATCAACTAAAGGGCTAGTGATAAATATCATAAAGCCTGCCATTTGCTATAAATAAATATTTTCATTGACCAAATAGGAAGTGTAATAAATTCAAAATTTAAATTACTAGGTAATAGCACAATTTATTCACTTTAAATGGAACATTTGTGGATGATGCCAGACCCAATATTTAAGATTTAATTTCTCATAGTAAATGAGGTGAATTTTCAAGGAATAATTAGGAATACCATCCCAGACAAATATCTTGTCTAACGGTACAAAGAACAAACGGGTTCTAGTATTTAACATTAATTTGTGCATTCATAATTCCTGAAATTGAACTAAACTCAAAACGATGGCAAATAAATTCACTCAAATGACCGTTTGCTAACATACACATTTAACTCAAAATCAGTACATAGAATTTCCGGTCTGCACATTGACCTTAGTATGTAGTCGATTTAACACACGAGTTATATTTGGTTTTGGAACTAAGTAAAGCAGCATACATTTTTATAACGGAAAACTTACAAGCACAAGCGCTGACCAATCGTTCCTTTTCATAAGAACGGGCACCCTGAAAATGTTATAAGACGAATCATTAATTCTTGAACACATAGATAAGTTGAAGGCATATGAAATACAAACCTGGTGAAGACACGCTGATTCATTTGCTTCAAAAGGATCATCATTTAAGCTTAGAGTCCCAACTTGTGAGTTGCATAAACTGGTCTCTGACAAATTCGGAGGAGGGAAGCCACGTCTGCGAATAGGTACAGAGCCGAAATCTTCTGTGGGTTGTGAGACACGTTCATCGATTGTTCCATCAAACGTTGCCGCTCGAGCTGTGAAGGCTTCTAAGAGAAAAAATAATTAATTCGAAATGAGAATTGAATAAAAGTATTTACCTGGGGATGATTTATTGAAAGTGTGCTTGTAAGGCGGAATCATATGTTTGCTGAACCACCGCCGAATTTTTCGGCTTTTAGGAACTTGAGGAGGTTTAGTGGAGTTGGCATCGTTAGAGGAAGAAGAGGGAATAAGCGTAGTTGGCGGTTTTGAATTAGAACGCCTGATTGTTAAACGCCGAGCTAGTCTGGAGAAAAACGTCGACCTTGATGCCCCTCGAAGTTTTCCGCATGAAGGGGAAATTGAAAAACTAGTGTTCTTTTTTGATAAAGCGGAGGGATTGATAGTTGGTTCAATAGGCTCGCTGTGTAAATGGGAAACTTGACCATTTAGTGTAGATGATGTTTGGGGATAAGACTGGTTGAAATCATCACCAAAATCGTCAAAACTAGACAACTTATAAAAATCCTGGGGATTTAGATCAATGGTCTTTGTGTATGTGGAACCGTCTAAAGCAATATTCATTTTGGGTTTGGGATCAGAGTGGTTAGCGAACTTGGAAGAATTTCCAACTCCATTAACAACTTTTTCTGATGAATTAGGAGAGCAGCCATTCACTATAAATTAAGAGGCAATAATTAAATGAAAATAACGCTTACCGTCGAGGGCCGACTCTGGTTGCATAACGACACAGCAACGAAAAATTTAAATGATGGGTTGGTAAAACTCGCGCACAAAACAGGCTAATAGTGATAGTTCGACATAGCTGCAAATTGTTTTGGAAATCTATTGCGTATTTGAGCTTAATTTTTTGATATCTAATTTTAGAATTAGTTTCAGATAGTTATAAGTTTCTTTAGATTTCAATATTATTGCTATCAATAATTTAAAGTCATTTTATTATTTTATTTTGACTTAAATTTTATTATTTCAGAAATTGTATATTTGTATTTTTATAAAGAAGTATTCCAATGATGCATTTAATTGAATCGCTGATGCAGCACTCTTCCAAGTAATTACGGTTTTGGTTGTGATGCGTAGGTATATTATCATATTTATTTCTTCGTAGAATCCAGTGATCATCTTCTTGAATTGGAAAATAACCGAAGGGCAGAAGACTTAAGCGTTAAAATCAGCCTCTTGAAATCAGTAGGCGGAATATCTCTATATTCTATCTATTTAGTATGCAAGAGAAATTCAAGTTGAGGCCAAAGAGCAAAATCAATTTCTCAGTACAGTTCAGAATGCTGCTGATTCTGCTGGGAGTATGCTGTCGCGAACTGTTGGTCGACTGGTAGGTATGCCCGCAAATCGTCATAACAATCGAAAACTTCTCTGCCTTACTGTGGCTGTTTTCTTTTTTGTCTTTGTAATCTACTCAATGATTCGTCTATTGGCTGTTTAAAATTAACTTTCCCATTCCTCAAAGCCTTTTTTACTGTACTAAAATTGAATCAAAGTTTTCTTATCTTAAAATGCTTTATTATATTTTGACTTCATTGATAGTGCAGTTTATTGCTATGTTTTTGCTGTCTGCTTTTTAAGTCCACATTACCATGAAATGGTTTGTTTATTCATATATAAAACCGTCTTATTAATAAGTTCCTGAACTTACAATATTCTAAATTCCTTTAAATTTTGTTTAATTATTTCACGTTTAGTGTCTGGCTTTAGCATAAAATTCCTTATTTGATGGAATTATTTTTCATCTTATAGCTAACTAGGGCATCTTTAAATGGAGGCTTATAATAAATATTTGTTTTATGAACATATTCTTTGTTTCGGTTCTTATTCATAATTGGTCTATGTATCGGTTGTATCCAATATTTTCGGGTGGGTAAATTTTAGCTGTTTTTTATCAATAATTTAGCGCTCTATTCCATTAAATTGCTTGAGACATAGACTGGGCCATTCTAATGCGAGTTTCTTTGTGTTGATTATAAAATGCTTCAACTGGTTTTAAAGCAACCAAGTTGTCACGTTCTAAATTACTCAGACTACCCAATGTAAGTGTTTTGTTCTGTTGTATTTTCCTTTTTCCGAATTTTAGGCAGTCGTTCCGATTTTTCTCAAACGTGGTAATAGTCTTATCGTGTCCAATACCGCCTACTTGTATCTTAGCTCTCCTCTCCACTTAAACAAAAAAAGTAGGAACTCAGGCTTATTATATGGTTATTACAAGTCTAAGAAAGATTGAAGTCCACAATCGAAAGCAATAAAAGGCATTAAATTAAAACGATGCGGCCGTCAAATACCTTTAATGTTTAACCAACAGGGAGTAAAAGTTAATACAGGGCTGGGTCATAGGCACTTCCAAAGAGCATTTTCCAACATTCTGGAGATTTCCAAGGTTCCACGCCTTCAGCAGGATTGATTTTCAACCATCCATTAATCGCATGGGCCATAAAGAAGGCATCATTTCTATTATCTCCATCACAAGTGAACATATTAAGTAGAATAGTTGGTACAGATTTCATTTTCTCGAGAGACGAGTATATGCTGATTGTGGCCCCTGAGCCAGGTAGATTTAAAACCATTCGGCCACCATGAGAGTCGTAATCAATAACTTCTTCTTGGGCTAACTGGGTAAGTCCAATTCGAGAAAGAGCTTCCAAATCATCGCTAGAATGAGTCGATGTAAACTGAAGGGGCGGACCGCGTAGCTGTTGATCCTATTTAGATACCATCTAGAGTAAACCAAGGTTGAACATTTAGATGCTTGCCTTTCTCGTCATTGCAAAGCTACTCGAGAGGAGTATAACACGAGAAAACTTCTGTTCCGATACAAAGTGAGCAAGCTCTTTTCCAAACTGATCACGAGCACCGCTGAATACTGGAACTCGAACCTGAAGAAATGATAATTTTCGACTGTCATCGTCGTACAGCTAAAATAGACAGGCAATTTTGAAATAATCGCAAAACGAACGACTAAGATTGCCAAAACCCACAAATACCTCTAGAGAACAAGCTAAAGAAGGGGATGAAATAAGCTCTGGATAAGGTGTGGATCCAACAATCGGTGGAACACTGGATGAATTGAGATAACCAACGAAGACTGGTTCCAGTGATGATATAAGTACATCCATACAGAGCTGACCAACATTACCAACTCCGACGCAAGCGATGATGAGAGTATATTCATCTCGAACTTTGAGAGAGTGGTCGACATTGGATGGCACAAATTTGCACATCTATTAATGAGTAATTTATCTTTAAAAAGTGAAGCTAGCATTCGTAAGTATAACCCATAAAAGAATGCAAATTAAAATGGAAGAAATGTATATTTATGGTTTTAAATATTTTATGTAGACAATAACTACAGAATAATATGATTATGCCACCTTACGTTTAGTTGATAAAGCAATGCTGCAGGGTACTGATAATTGGGGTTAGCGAACGAAAGAGGATAGGTCACACTACTCCAAAACCAATAGCCTTTTCGCTTACGAGGTCATGGCCTTGTCTAATGGCTAGCTATTATCCAGAATTTATGGTTTTAATAATTTTGACAAGTATATTTATTATAATGTCTTGATCTGAGTTACAAAAGCTACAGATCTTATTTACTTTGACAAAGTTTTTATTTATTTTTAAATAGTTTAAGTTTTCGATTATGAGATTCGTTTATATCAGGCGCAATTTGCGGCAACTGACAGCTCGGATGTTTCTCTACAATTCTAGGTTAGCAAATAGTATTTCCATTTTGGTACTGGAGTAAATTATATCATTTTCCCCCTAACTACTCCTTGTTAAATAACATTACAATTTTAAAGAAGATGCACATATTTACTAATTTCGTGCATTTTGAAAAATTCCTCTTTTTATTGAATATTTTGGATTATTCATATTTATTCGTTTTCTAACTGAATTGCTGATTTCAGTATTTCTTTGTGTAACGTTATTTTATCATGTTATATCATCGCAATATTTTTAAGAATACTTTAATATCTGAAGTATTTCGTGTCTCCTTTATTTAAATTAAATTATAATAAATTTTGGTATGTTTTTCTTACTTGTAACTTTAAGCTTTGAGTACCTCCATCCATCTCGTGGAAAAGACCTGCATTTATATTTCCGTTCGCGCAAGAGAAGTAGTTCCGAGTGTATTATACTTATTTGATAGGTATATCTTAGATGTGATGGTAGATTGAATTTATAAACGACTTAGAAATTGATGCACGGTGGCACTTCAATAAATCTGTGTCATTTCAGTGTTTTTTGTGCTTCATGTTACATTTATACACTGCAGACATTTAAAATTAAACAGTGGCTGAGGGTAAATAACAGATGAAAATTTCTGTGATTCTTTGGCTATCAACCCGAAATAGAATATATACTGAGAAAGTGAAAGCGTCCCAGAGAAGACATTTGGGCCGAGAACGATTCCAATTTAAGATAAACAAAGAAAAGTTATTGATGATAAGAGGAGACATAAACAGATCACAAAATAAAGTAATAAGAAAGTTGCAAAAAATAGTTTTTATCATCCCTAGCCGTCTTAATTAGAGTTTCTCAAAATTTGGTAAAATTTGCACCCTGTAATCTGTGTCTCCCGGTGCTATCAATGATGACCAATAGCAGAAGCCGTATTACCTAACAAGCCAATAATATTCTTTCAAAATAAAGATATTTAATTACTGATCATGTTTAAATATTCGTTCGTTTACGTGATAACAGCACCTCACACAAAAGGTTCTCTGCTTTCACTGCTTTGAATTGTTGGAAATAATATTCGTGAAAGAGGACTATGCTTTTATGCTTGTCTTGCAGGTAATTTGGGTTCTAAGAGGATTTTTAATATTTATCAACCCACATTGATAAAACTTTAGCTGCCCAACACAAATTTACACGAATTTTAAAGCAATAGCATTACCCTTTAAAAATTATCCATTATATTTCCATTTAAGACTTTAAAATAAATTGGAGTGCCAAAGTCTTTCGCATCGGTTGGAGCTTCGGCCTGATAATACTTACAATGATTTCTATTTAAAATAAGAATACCCGATCCGAGGCTATATGAAATAGTAAAAAAAATTCTTGGTGGTATGAAAGAATTGAAATAACTTAAAGTTGCAGTGGGTTTAAACTTACCATCACTAAAGGTACAAACGCATATATCTGATTCACGTTTAAAAATAGGCCTAACGTGATTCGTGTATTTGACTTTTTCGAACAAAAACGGACGTAACTACTGACAGAGATATGAAATACAATTTTGATTAGCACATTGACACCTTTCTACAGACGTAAGAGAGAATATTTCATAAGTCTATTTATTGTTAAAATTTATTTCTATACTATGGGAGTTTGGCTTCAATAGGTCTCTAAAATATTACACTATTTGGTTGAAAATAGTGAATAATCTATTTAAATACATGAGTAGTAGCAAGCGAGTTCGACTTTTATTTATGGGGGTGTTTAAAACTCGAATGGCACACAATAAGTCCTGCTTAAACCTAAATAACCTGGAAATCCCTAATTACTTGCTTTAAAGACGAACCACATACGTAGTGAGTAAATACAAGAAACGTTATTCTAAGTTGTATAAACCCGCAAGTAGGGTAGAACATTCGGGAATGTTCCATAGCGAATGGGATTCCTTTTATCAACATTGGTAGAGCCAATAGGGTATTGTATGCCATTGGCAGGATAGAGGATATTAACTAAACCCTTCATTCCATCTCATTCCTACCCTCATTCGGATTATGTTATTTTACTAAGTAAATCCGTGATTAGAACCAGTTCGAGCGTTGGAGATCTGTCTAATAAGTTCTATTCGAATTAGTAACCACGAAATCACCTGCTTGTGAAAATTATTGGAAAATATTCAGAGAGCAACGGAGAGAACACACATTGATTAGATCACATATCAGTAAAAGTGACAATGGTAAAGTTTTAGATAGGCAAATGAGATACACTTGAGGCGATCTAAGAGAAAGAGAGAGAGAGAAAGGGAGGTAGAGAGGGAGCTGAATACACGACCAGAAAAAGAGGATCTGGAAACCACAAATTGGATGGGAGGTTTAAAAGTCTGCGGGTTTAGTTGAAAACTCTAATTAGTAGCTAATTTCTGCTTGAAAAGGTATATATTAATCGATATATTATGACATGCTGATTAATTATAACCAATGGACCAAAGCAGTTCAGAAATGCTAGAAGATGATCACATCCTTAAATAAAGGAGTTAAATCTTGGTACCAATACAAAAAAGGTATTTGAAAATTTATTTATATCAAATGGCAGTCTGTTCCCAATTATTTATTTATTTATATCAAATGGCAGTCGTTTTGATAGTTATCATTAGCCCTGGAGCTGACTTCGGGGCTTCACGGAGAGGAGAAGGGACATCAAAGTGAAAAAAAATTCTATAGGGGGAAAGACAGAAGAGTGCTTCAATGACTAAGTTAGAAGCGGTAGAAAAAGGTGAGGTGAGTACTATGGAAGTGGCCGACAGTGGGGTCATGGTAGTTCGAAGTCAGAAGTCAACTGCCGTTTAATAGATTTTTCTTGCCGTATGAGAGTACATTGCCCAGGGTGCACCACGTGGAGGTAAGTCCATCGCACACCCCGGTATTTGAAAAGTAAGATCCTGGTTATGGTAATTCTTGGTGTTGACAGAATTACAGGAATTTTCTTGAAGAATTTCGCAAAATATGAGGAACGGCGCTAAAAACAGGTAGAAAATAATGACTGGCGCAGAAACAGGATGTAATAAGTCACGAATCCAGTGCACCAGTAAATACCCAAATCTTGATTTATACCAAAACGGCACCGCGAAGGCACCGCACTCTCCCTCCATCCCTACCTTCCTCTCAACAGTGTAAATCTTCTGGAAATTAATTTCACTCCATTCATTTATAAACAACTTCTCCCAACAATGCCGGTGTGTAAAGGGTTAGGATAACAGACAGGAAAAAAACGCAGGTTTAGATCAAGCGCTTAAAGCAAGAAATCCATCTTTAAGAGGGGGTTATGAATTGCCCAATGCCGGAATATCTAATAATGTGGAATCAAGATGCTGCATGCTTGATGTACGAGAGTGAAATGGCGAACGTAATCAATGTAATTAAAAACGTCAGACACCAAGTTTGTGGTTAAATAGAGCGATCTCACTCGAAAAAGGAGCCATACATTCAGTAACTATAAATACTTGTTGTGCCAAATTTTGGTTATCATATAATATTTTTTTCAAAATTGCAAAACCATTCACAAAGAGGCGGGGGTGGTGGTGGTGGGGCATGAAGTGAAAAATAATTAGGACAAAATGTAGGCTTCCGTGGTTCTGACATCTTGAACTGACCAGTTAAGTCCCCCCCCCCCCAACCGATGGAAAGCATTAAAGTAGGAAAAGTGGGAAACACCCCAAGCCAAAATCTCTCAATTCAATGTATTAAAATTTGAAAATTATATAACCCTATGTCCACATGAAATCCCCTGCACATGGAACACTAAAATATGCTTTTATTACCATTCTTAGATTAATAAATAAATAAAGAAATAAATTAGAACATAAAATACCCCCCTTCCAGAGCTTTGTCATTATAAAATTAATTGGAATTTAATTTTTAAGATGAAATTTATGGAGGAAAATAATGTCCAGTGTTATGTTCGATTTTAAGTCTCGTAATTTTATGAAGT